TCTCTCCTCCGCGAAACTATTGTGTATTTACTGCCCTGTTTTCAGGACTCGGTGATATTTACACAGAGGACTGAGGAGCAGGAGGAGCAGGAGGAGCAGCAGCAGAAAGGGACGCGCTCCTAAAAAACCCGGGAGACGTTTTAAACCCCCTCCTCTCCCTCTCTCTCTCTCTCTCCCTCTCTCTCTCTCCGTGCGCCGCGGATGGAAAATCCGAGGCTGTGAAATGTGAATTCCTGAGCCGGTGGCGGCTGGGAGCTGTGGAGACAGAGGGGGAGGAGGGGGGAGGAAGAGGGGAGGAGGAGGAAGAGGAAGGGAAGGAGAAAGACCATACTTGACTGCCCTCTTTAGGGAGGCCTGGAAACTGTCCGTCGACAGAGATGTTTGGAGACGGTTCACGGAGAAAGTTCCAGACCGATGAACGGCAGTGATGACGTAACGGCGACAGAAATGTAAAAAAAACATGACGTCAGAGCCTGTTTAGGGAGGAATCTTTGGTGAAACTGATTTAACTTTCAGTTCCTGTTTTTATTCTTTAAATAATGGATGGAACTTCAAAATAATCCACACTGAGACCGACACACACACACTCTCTCTCTCTGTCTCTCTCTCTCTCACACACACACACACACAGTTCGCCTGTTGCTTCGTAATATATGTATAATATATTTTTTAATTATTTCAACTCTGTTATGTGTTTGAACAGGAACTCAGTTCTTTTGGTACTTTATCAGGAACTGTTTGAATTCACGGTCACCGTTTTTTCGTACTTTTTGGCGCGGAATGTTTTGGGTTTGTGATTTTTTTATTTATTTATTTTTTGTCTTTGTGTGTGTGTGTTTCTGGTTGTGGGGACCTGGAGTTAATTATTTATTTTTTGGTCAGATTAGAGAGTGTGTGTGTGTGTTAGTGTGTGTGTGTGACCTACATTTTACGGCCCTGACGTTGGAGTGACTTTTGTTTTTTGTTTTTTTGCTTCGTTTTTTGTACAAAAAAGTTTGACTGGTGCTGATTTACACACACACACACACACACACACGCTGTGACCGTGCAGTGAACTGTCAGAGTAATGGATGGAGCAGAAATGTGTTCCAGAGCAGTGGAGGTGCCCGGACAGGCCTGTCTCCTCCTTCACCTCCTTCTCCTGGAGGAGTCAACAGCGCAGGTATTTGTGCTCCTTCGTTGGAACTAATTTTAATAATAATAATAATAATGTCAGTACTAACAACAGTTCCAGTTCCTGTCCCTGTTTCTCCGCAGCACCTCCTCAGTCCTGTCCAATCACAGCCGAGCTGCAGCCAAATACTGACCGAGAAGCTCACGTGACTTTGAGGCCTGTGTCTTTAAATGTTCTTCTTCGTTTGTTGACTTTTTGTTGACCAGTGTGTGTTTTTGCTGTGACGTCATGTGTTTGTAGTGATTTCTTTCAGGCTCGTTCACAGGTATCGTTTCCTGAAACTTCGTGTTTCTGAGACTCGACTCACTGTTCGGGTGAAGACGTTCATCTCCGGCTCTGTTTACGGTCAGAATTTTGACTTTACGTCAGTGTTTCGACCGTTCAGACGGGTGGAAGCTAAAGCAGCTAATGTGAAACAATAGTTATTTTAATGTTGCCGTAAATTATTAGCTGCTGACGTAAAATTTATAGGCTGTGAAAATACAACCCACGGAACCTGAGCCGCTGTATTTAGTCTATGTATATTTTATTGAAGAAAAAAAAGATAATTTTATTTCTGCTTAAAGGTTAAAAATAATGTTACTAATAATTATGGTGATTTAATCGTTGATTTAATTGTTGATTTAAAGGTTCGTTGTTTTATTTCATTATAAACCGTCGTGTTTTACCTTAAAACTCAACAACTATTATTCTAAGATTTTTTTTTAAATTATTAACTATTTAACGAGAAAAAGAGTTTTTTAAAAATAAGAAAATAAAAATCTGTCAGAAGTTAAATGTTGAATCTGGGTCAAAAAATGTCCAGAAGATTCCAGCGTGATCACAGGCCTGTACTTGTATTTAAACCTTGTTTAAACCATGTTATCACGTGATCATTTTTAAAATTCCACAGTGAATTTACGCATTTACTTTCAACGTTAAAATTAATTATTGAATGTGATTTATTTTAAAACATAGTTTTTTAAAAAAAAAAACAATTTGTTCAATGTATAATGTCAGTCTCTGTTCAGCTGCAAAAACCTGAGTAAATTATATATATATTAAAATGATTAATTTTAAAACAAATAATAAAACATAGACATAAAACATCAGATCAAAATCATTCACAATTGAAATTGTTTTTATTTAAAAAAACATAAAAAGAAAAGTAAAATTCCTCAAATTATTTTAAAGAATTTGGGGTTTTTTGTTTGTTTTTTAAATGGAAATTTTAGAAAAACAATAATATTTTTTCGTCCAATCAGGATTTTACCTTTAAAAGATCATCGTTATTTTCACCTCGTCTGTGACTGAAACATAAACTCAGTTCAACAGAAAAGTCAACGTCGTTTATTTATTTATTTTCCCTCAGAATTAAACATATCATTGACCGGTGACTGCACCGTGGAGGAGGCCGTCGACTCCACGAGCAGCTGACGGTTAAACATGAACCGTCGCGCCGCTCCATTAACTCCAGCCTCCAGATGAGGACGGGATTATCAGGCCTGACGTGTGGATTATAATCTGACGGAATGGGAAATACTTTAAATGAAAGAAATCGGAGTTGCATTAATTTAACACAACCTAAAAAAACATTATGAAAATATAATATATTTAGACTGTAGTTATTGATGGAAGTTTTTACCCTGTTTCTTTCTTTCTTTTTTCTTCCCAGACTCGTCTCTCCTGAGGTAAAACCTCCTCGGTGATGAGTTCACTGACCCTGCGTCCAGTCCACAGATGGTCAGCGGGGATTTCATGTCAGAGAATGTCGGTAACGTTCACTCTTTAAGTACCTAAAAAAAATCAACGACAAAAAACTCAGTTTTGTCACTGACAGGATTCACAGTTAGTCTTGGATTCAAACATCTACAAAAATGTTTTTATGTTTTTTAAACAACTACTACGTTACAAGGCTTTTTTTATTTTATACATATAAATACATACATATATATCTATATATTTATATTTATTAATACATAATATTCGTGTTCCATCCTGGTCACATTTGATCCCATAATCCACCAGCAGACTGCGTCATCTTTGCACTGATACATTCAGAATCCATAAATATTACTAATATGTTCAGAGTATTTATATATATATATATATATATATATAACATAGTACTCCGTGTATAAAAAAAACAAATCTGGGAAATACTAAAATAACTCTGTATAGTGACAGACATTACATGTAAATAGCAGCAGCAGCTCTACTGTGACGTCAACACTTTTTGAACTGCAGCACGATGGGAGAAAAGAGATGAAGACAAAAAGAAAAAAAACTTTTTTTTGGTTTTTTTTTATCATCCTTTCTTCAAAAACTGCATCCTCAAAGGTCGAGCAGCAGCTGGGCCTGAAACAAAAGGAGAAAGGAGAGAAAAACAAAACAAGATATATATATATATAGGAGAGAGAGAGAAGGAGAAAGAGAGAGAGAGAGAGGCAGGGACTGTTGAGCTGGGGCCATTTTGGATGTCATCTGTCTCCTTGACGACGGGGCCCCGGCCCTCAAAGGCCCCTTGGGCGCAGGGATTGTTTGAGAAGAAGCCGCTATTTTCTGCAGCATCATTTATCACTGTCACCACATAATGATTCCCCTCGCAGCTCCTTATTGATGTTTGTAATTGCATTATCTCATAAGGGGGGGATGATCAATGGAGCCGAGAGGAGCACGGAGGGGTCAGGAGATGCCGGCTCGCTGTTTGTCCATTTAATGCAGGCAGAATCTCATTATCTCTGCTGCTGCTGCTGGAGGAGGAGGAGGAGGAGGAAGGAGAGAAAACAGCTCGGTTCATTTGTCTAACCTCCAGCCACCGTGGATTTAAAAAAAAAAAGAAAAAGAGAAAAAGAAAAAGAAACGGGACAAAGTCACGTGGTCATCAATCGATCCCATTAAATCTTTGGTAAAAAAAAAAAGAGGTTTTGGGTTCGGAACGGGGGGGTGCAGGGGCTTCTTCTTGGGGGGTACGGACTCATGAGATCCAGTTTCTGCCTCATGTCGCGCCGCGTGCGCACGAATCTTTTACCACGAGCCGTTTATTAAAAACAACCAGCGGTGAACGTTGACGAACGGCGCTGTGACGTAGAGGGAAAGAAAGGCTTTTATTGGATGTCATGGACATGACAGTAACAACATGTTTTAATATTTCATTTCTGTTTATATTTTTTCGTTCCTGTGACGTATAGATATAAATATCGACGATAGAAATCTTCGATTTTACCACTTAAAAATCTCTCCCCTCACAGTGTTTGATATGACATTTTTACTGCCGACCTATAAATAATAACTAACTGTAAATAAATGAACTGCAGATATAAATAATAACAGGCCACGTCACAATTTCTTTAAATAAGTTTCAAGCTTTTTTTATGATAACATTAATGGTTTTCGTTTTTCTACAAAAAACCAACAAACAAAATAAACAGAGAAGTTTCATTTGAGAATCTTAAAAAAATGTGAGTTGAAAATCCAACATTTTTCTCCTAAAATGTTTTTATTTCCTGTTGTAAAACACAAAGTTAAAGAGAGAAAAAAATAAAATTTTCTGTTCAAATCTTTTCATTTTCAGCTGCTGCTAACTCTGCTGCTGCTGCTGCTAATTCTGCTGCTGCTGGTGAACTTTCCCCGTCAGCTCTTTCTCTGTGCCAGGATGTGACCTCACTGCTGCAGCTTGACTAAGCATTTAAACCCAACTGCATTTCTCTAATGGAACTCCACTGTGTCACAGCCCTGATGGATGATAACAGTACTGCACCACTTATTCACTTTTAGCAGCACTTTAATATTCTTTAAATGTTTAATGTCATTTTTCTACTGTTTTTTTTTTCAGTCGTTGCTGCAGAAAATTAGTGAAATAAAACTTTTACCTGGAACGGAGGTGAGCGCTCATCGTCAAGACCTTTGATTGGACGTCCATCTGGACCGCAGGCAGGTCAGTGACAGACACACATTACTTTGAAGAAGCCACATCATTTGTATCTAGGGCAGAAAATAGTGAAAATGAACGTTTCCTTCTGTCTACTGTTAAGGAGAGGAAGAGGAGGAAGAGGAGGAGAGTGGAAGGCCGTGAACCTCGGAGTCCCTGCAGGCGAGACTTTGCAGACGTTAACGCTCTGCTCTGCACAATTTATGGAGCATAGACAGTTTATAAGGAGCAGCAGAGTCTATCAGAGAAGCAGGAGGAGGAAGAGGAGGAAGAGGAGGAGGAGGAAGGCGTTCATGCAGGATGGAGCAGGGAGAACCACTGCTCTGACCAAATATGTCTTGTGTGAAATGTTGTGACTCTTCATCACTCAGTTTGAGTCGGGATATGACATCACTGATGACATCAGTGATGACATCAGTGATGACATCAGTGACGACATCAGTGATGACATCAGACGATACCAGTTAGTATCATTTTTGGCTAAAGTTTTCCACTAACTCCTCCTTTCATTTCAGCTGAAGGAGCCGAGGAGTCGACGGTGAATTTCATGTTTCATGTCCCGTTCACCTGGACGTCATTTTAACTTTGGTAAGATACAGATTTCATGGCTATAATTTTCACCTCTTTTTTTCTCATTTTTGTTGTTTTACGTTTTTGTCATTGCGGTTGTTAAAGATCGGACGTCGTTATTTCACTCTCCCCAAAATCACGATTGGTTTTGACCGAAAATATGACGACAAGGTGTTTGCTGCAAAACAGTCGCAACAAAAAGTGTCAGAAGTTTGGAACTGGGCGGAAGATGAAAGTGACCCCCCCCATCCCCCCCACCTCACCACCCTCACCCTCACAGGCCTGACATCTGTCAGTAGTCGCCGGGCGACTTGTTATGCTAATGAAAGATTGATTCTCAGGAGACGCCAACAGTTTAAACCGCTGGTCAGTCTGACGTCCACGTAGACGTCATCGGTCTCTGTGGACGGCCAGGTTCTTAGACCCGTTCTCCAAAATGTCATTTAAATAATGGAGCGCTGATGTCAGTGAGAGAGAGAGAGAGAGAGAGAGAGAGAGAGAGAGTGAGAGAGTGAACATGAGGCTGTTTCAACAACAGCTGAGTTTATGTTGTTAAATGTAGCGTGAAAGACACAGAGGTTTCACACCAGTGTGACCAGCCTCTGGGGCAGGGACCGTTTATGTCCAGTTGGGAATTCCTCCGCGGGCCTGTTATCACACACACATCTATCTGATGATCAATTATCAAGTCATTAAAAGTCGTTATGGAGACAGTACTGACTAAACACAGGCTTGTCACCGCTGACTGTTTCTGATACAGCCGTGTACTCGTTGTTGTGACTTTCACGTGAACAAGACAAAGATGTAAAATGGACGACTGTTCTGATTGCGTTTCAAACTGAGAGAGAGAAAAAAACAATGTTATATTTAGATTTACAATATTGTAAAAAACATAACTGAGCGAGAAGAGAAAACACTTGGAGGCCATTTTATCAAACTCTAAAACATAAACAGATGCCGTTTGTTTTAACAGCCTCCGTTGACATCAGCCAGCTCTTCTCTTGTCTGGGTCTGTGACCCTGAGAGAACAGGACCACCGTTGACCTTGGCTTTGCTCTGTTATGGCTTGGCGCCTGTTAACGGTGGCCGTGAGTTGTAGCCTGGTGTTAAACTGTGATCCAGCCACAGTCAATGTTTATGTCCACCTATCAAATGCAATGTGTTTATGTTATATGGCATTATGGACAAACAGGCACTCTGAAAGGATGAAGTGTGAGTGTGGTCCAAGACCAGAGCAGAGGGGGTTTATGGTCCGTTAGAGAGGGCAGAAATCTCAAGTGCCAATCCGAGAGACAAATGGCTGATATAGTTTTCTGTTTGATTTCAACATCTGACCAAAAAAGTGGGATTTTAATCAAAATAAATTAAAAATGTGTGTTTAAAACTCCAAAAATATTTTATATGAATATTTGAAAAATCACCAACAACATGCCTTACCATCGTGAAAAAAATTCCCAGAAATGCCTTAAAATTCAAGATTATGTCCTAAAACATGCCAAGTGAATATTTTGTGTTTAAAACTCCAAATATAATAAATTAATTAATAATATATAATATGAAATATTTTTGGAGTTTTTAACACAAA